CAACGGCGAGTATCAGCCTTGTAGTTGTGTGTGCAATCGCCCTCTGAGCGATGTTTGTAGTCGTGAATAGTCAGCATTTTGCTGATGTGCGCATCTTAACAGGTGGTAAATTCGATTCTTTCCGCTAACAAAAATAATTGTCAATTAATTAATTCCATATGCATGAGCCAAATTTATGTTACTCATCCACAGCACACGCCGATATACGAGTATATATTACCCAATAAATTTATAATGTAAAAAGATATCAAAACCATGAGTGCTTGAATGTGCGAAGGAGCACCCGAATGTGCGAAGGGGAGGGAATAAAAACCCAGCCCGATCGTATTGCGATCAAGCGACAGCTAAGCTTGTTTGACAGTGTGGACTTTATGGACTAATATTATTTTCCAGGCACTTTAAATATTTATTCTCGTTATGTTGGAGAGGACGTAGCTTAGGCCGGCATATGGTGCCTGAACATCGGACGCCTCTCCCTCGGCCCAAGTCCCTTTCAGGACGGGCACTAATATGCCCACGTAACTAAGTAAAAATAAAACGAAGACTATTATATTTCGTTTACCTTCACATTTCGACCGAGAATTGCAGCTATTAAAAGATCCTTCCTGTTTTTCTAATTTTATAATTTTGGTCAGCAACTCTGCGATTTTCTGAGTAAAAGTCTTTCAGTTCTGGAGTCAGCTCTGGGTGACATGCCTCTGTCGGGCAGGAAATAAAAGCTAAGCAAAACATAACAAAAAGCGCGTAAAGGACATGTTCCAAGGCTACCTCCCATACGCCAAGTACGTATAAGGCATGCATGAAATTACGACTGACTTAAAAAAATGACTCGGGCTCTAATAAGCTCACGTAGCATAATTAACTTCCAACATTAGGATTTTTCATATTCCTTAAAGAATTTTATTAGGGTCAACAAAATGTATAACTGCGGTATCGGAGTGCATGTACCTATTTTTGGAATAGCTTTCACCTTAATTTGCCATGAGTAATTTGACTGTGCTATAGGACAGGTAGCTTAAGTAGTTTTAGATGTGCACATACTTATTTGTTTTTATCATTTAACTAGTCCCCAACTTCTGCGACTGTCAGTGTTGATTGGCCACTCGATCAGAACTTTATCTCAGAATAGAGGCTTGACTTTATTTTTTTTACTTTTTGTATTTTTATAAGCATAGAAATTCCCTGTTGTGTTAATGGGCAAGTTTACGTGGATTTCCTTAAGTCAAGAACTATGAGGTTTCCTTTCTATAATACTATGTAACTGCGTTCCGACCGACTATTTGTTATAATTTACGTAAATAGAATTTAGATGTGCTTTCTGGCCGACGCTGCCGACGTGCTAACCAGAAAGAGTAGGACCGCAAACATTACGATAACTCATTTAGCATTTGCGGTGCGGATCTATTTTTCGTTTGCCGATTTAGGACATAACAGGGGTGGGGGACATGAAACGTAAGGCCGACGCTTCACGACTTACTAGTTATTTGTCAGGTCGTTTGATAGGCTTGAGTCTTTGCGGTTTCCCTTGACATATTTGGTCGGGGGACCATTTTACTTTCTCTGACCGACGCTTCACGGCGTACTAGAATACTTTGTGAGGTCGTTTGATAGGCTCGACTCTAGAGAAATAGGAAAACGGTTGAGTCAAACAACCTGATTTCCGACGACTGGCGGGAGGGGGTATTTGGACAGATTCCTTGTCTAGGCGCAGCCAGTTTTCATTTGGAACATTTGAGCTGACTTTAAAGGAATATAAAGGGCATGTGAGCTTAGCAGAACCCAGGTGTGTAGAAGCGGCTAGCACAGTTGCTTTGGTTGTTTTGGGGCTCAAATATCGGACGGGTCTTGACCGAAGAGAGACTTGGTGAACATATATAAACATTTATTGTCCACTTATTCAGCGTTTACGTCACTGACCGGGCGTTTAATAACTATCACATTGATCCTGTTGTATTAGGAGCGAGCACGTTAAAAATTTTGTGCCTTTATCTATCAGCATGAAGTGAAAAACTATTAAAAATTGACCGCCATTATTAATCAGCACTAAGTGAAAAACTATTTAAGTAAGAGAAGGCCTGAAAAGGAGGGCCCAAGAGAGGGCATAAGTGAAGGGGTGAACAAAAAGGTTTTATACAACCCAGCACAGGATGAGTGCCTCGAGCAATAACGCGCGGAGGGAACCACCAACGACGGAGTGCGAGTTGAATGTATCCTGTTCCGAGGCGACCGATTGCAAGAGTTGTATGGCATAAATCGGCAACAAGTATTTAGGGAATTCCATATTCTACTAGCAGGTGGAGTCAATAAATGGTACTGGCAACTAATGGAGGCAAGAAGAAGAACAAATTCACGGAACAGACAACTATGGTCGTACTCAGATTCCTGTTGCGAAGTCATTCCATGCGTGTCCGCGTCGACCTCTTCGAGCCTGTTACGTACGTCCCCCTCTTATGCGTCGGACCACCGCTGCCAGAATAATCAAAGAACGTGAAGAGGACCAACCATAAGGACGACATCCGACATACTGTGATGACTGTGGCCGCAGTACCCTTGATCCCCATGCTCCTGGAAATTATTAATCTGTACGAGGCATCCATTCAGAGGCATAGTGACCAAGAAGAACAGCAATAATAATCCAATATAATATTTTCCAAAGCTCAGTATCCGGAGCGTCGAGGTCTCATTGCCCAGGATACATACATGTGTAAATATTCGTGCAGTATCCAACAATATAAGCCTAATATTTTATTAAATAAACATATAATGTAAAAAGCAATTTAAAACTACGATGGGCTCGACCTTTAACAAAAGGGGACGGACAACCTTGACAATAGGGGATCGTGTTGCACGGCCCTCGAAGATCCATTTTGCAAACGAATTTGTGAAGGGGAGGGAATATGGCCGAAACACAGCTCGATCGTATTGCGATCAAGGGATAGCTAAGCTTGTGGGGCAATGTGGACTGATGACTGACGAACTTTACGCAATAATATTATTTTTCAGGCACTCTAAATATTTATTCTCGTTATGTTGGACAGGAGAGCGGCTTAGCAGGATCTCACGACCCAAATGCGACGTAGCTTATGAAAATTTTTTTTACAAAGTTTAATTTTATTTCTTTTTTGACATATTATCTTATACTATTGGGAGTATCATTTTTTTATTTTTAAGAATTTCGAATTCAATTTAATAAAAATTAGACGACTCCAACAAATAGCGCTCGAAGAAACGGTCGGAGAAATAATGAAAGAATTGTTATACCCTTGCAATTATTTTAATATTATTTGTAATTGATTTTATTTTTCCTAAGTTTTACAGAAATGGTCTTCTATTTCAACTATGAGAGCTCATAGTATTAAGTATAAATATTCTTGATCAGCATCACTAGACGAGTCGATCTAGCCATGTCCGCCTGTCCGTCCGTTTCTACGCAAACTAGTCTCTCAGTTTTAAATCTATCGGGCTGAAACTTTCCCAAAAGTCTTATATTAGTCAGAACGAGCCGGATCGGACAACTATATTTTATAGCTCAAAAGGAATAATCGAAAAAAATTGGTGTTTTTTAACATACCATTTAAAATACCATTTTTTAGTTAACTCCGAATTTAATTTTATCAAAATCGGACGACTATATCATATAGCTGCCATAGGAACGATCGTAAAATTGGTGGGAAAATAATATGAAACAAATTATAGCTTCGGTGTTCCTTAACATATAACCTCCTACGCTTGGAAATAAAATTTTTTAATTAGTTCTGAATTTCGAATTTAATTTTATCAAAATCGGACGACTATATCATGTAGGTGTCATAGGAACGATTGGAAAATTGGTGGGAAAATAATATGAAACAAATAATAGCTTCGGTGTTTTTTGACACATTATCTTATACTATTGGAAATATAATTTTTTCTATTTCTAAATATAATAATTATAACTGCTAGGGTATACAAACTTCCTCTCTTGTTTTAAATGTGGGTACTTAGGGCCTGTTTTTCGAGTGCCGGCTAACAATTCTCGAACAGAAAAAGTCCCTGCTAAGCGATTTTGGCTTCATCGAGCCTCAAAGTGAGTGCTAACTTTGCCAGGAACTCAGGTTCCCTGTTAAGTCTTTCTCGACTCGATAAAATGATAGCTATTTTCACAAAGCCTACTAAAATAAAATTATACAATCTGGAACATAAATACAACCTAAAAAGTTGATGTAACAATCAAAGCAAGACCTGTGCTTTCGCTTAACAGCTTAAATTTGTGATTAACAGCACTCTGTAATTGTTTCTCGTTCAGATAAATTAAAGGCGTCGAGAAAACCGATTTGCTTTTACGACCACTTTATCTGGTCTTTAAGTTTTTCGGACAGATAGCTATCTGGGACTCTGACAGGAACTCGAGAAACCGGCCCCTAATGCAATAATTTGTATCACTAAGATCTAAAAAATTACCTTTTCAATGTTTGCGAATCCTTGAATGCTGCTCAATTTTTTAGTAATAATTATTTCTGGCCAAATTTGACTAAAATTTTTTTGTTTTTCTCCATTAACTTCAATAGAACCTTCGATGGGTATTATCTTTAAAACTAGATCATTTTTACATCCTTTACGGTTTGGAGTGTAACGAAAGACTTCTCCGTAAGCCCCTTCGCCTATTTTGTGGGTTTTCAACATTTTATATTGTGAATATGCAGCATTAAATTTAAGGGGCTTGCCTTGATTGCAATATTTATAGAAGTCTTGTTGAGAAATAACATTTTGTTTATTTAGACCATTTAAAAATATTGACTTCCGATCCTGGCATACTGAGTTCCGGCTTTCCAATTTTTTGCTTTCATTTAGAACACTTATTTGAGTTTGGCGAAAAATGTTTAGTGACTTACGCCACTTTCCTGGTTTTAGTACAACACCAACAATCTTATTCGATTGGTTACTAGCACAAGCAACCTTATTTGTTTGGTTACTAAATTTAGAAAATGTGTCAATTTGGTTTTTAGATGGTACTATCAAACCTCTTTTTTTTGTATTTGGCTCTGCATCCTTATCGGCATTGCATTTCTCAGTCGTGTCTTCAAAACCATCAAGTTGTAAGCGGTTGATCGGAGACAAACCGCAATTAAACAAGTCCTTGCCTAAGTGGTTATAATTAGGTGTTGATATAGATACACTTCGATTGCAACTTTTTGGTGAACAACCTTTTATACTGTGGCTGCTATTTTCTACACTCGTGTCGATATTATATGATAATCTTACATTCTTCTTTATTATGTTCAGATTACTTTGTTGCCTAGAAGCAATATTCTGTTTATAAGTAAAGATTTCAATAATTTTAATCTTACGGTCTCGGGTCCAACAATTTATCAAACGAATCCTCCCATATTTCGTCTCCTGATGATTTATCCATGTTCTTTATGTATTGTAAATAACGAATAAATATTTGAAGTTTTATAATTTACGGATCAATCGAAACGCAGTTCATTGCAATTATTAAGATTTTAGAAGAATGTAATTCACTCTTTGTTAACATCCTTGTCTGGCCTTACACTTCCACTTGAATCAGTTTAGGTAGCGTTCACACAGCGGAATTGATGCGAAACGCCCAGCGTTTCGGGCTGCGCATAAAGCCTAGTACTCACACCGACGAAAACCGCGAGTTTACCATAGGAGTGAGCGAGAGGCAAATACGCGGCTAACGCTTTTCGTCGGGTCTGTTTTTCAGTGCGGTACTCAGATGAGCTAAGGAAATACCAGAAAAATACCATATTTCGCGAGTGAACTTTCGATGAACGCCGTTAGCCGCAGCCCAAAGAATTAGAAATTTAATCTTCGGCGGTGTTCGTGTAGAAGCGGTGAAGAACTTAAAAATTAAAAATGGAAGAAAAACACCAAGAACGGATAAAGGAGATCAGTGCAAATGAAAAAGGACACCTAATCGAAGCTGTTGCCCATTGTTGTGGGACTTGACCGACAGGATGCAATACCACAACGGGGCAAATCCGCAGAATAGTTGAAGCGCTGGAGAAGATCCACTAAAGAATCCCAGTGCCGAGGAACATGGGACATCGTTCGATCTCCGACGAGCTCTCCATTGAGAATTCCACCTCCACCAGCTACTTGACAGCTAAAGCGGAGATGCAAGACGCGCCGGCTTCTGTAGGGAGGAAAAAATATGGTCTCCCGCTAAGGGACAGCTGAAGGAGCGATCACCAGCCATTGTTGGACAGCCTATTGGGGCTCGGAGCTGGACTGCAGATGGCGCGGGAAAGATATCGAAGCCTCCATGGGACGAGAAGGAATCTTTAAACTAACTCTAATTTACAAAAATAAAAACATTTGTTGAACATTTCATTTATTTTTATTTTAACTTCTTTGTGCACCAGCAGACTCTTCTTTTTTTAAATTGGTCCAATTGATTTGTTTTCCGTTTGGCAACAAGCCTATCTGCTTGACAGTAAGACCATGCCACATGCATTGCGGGTGAACTTTAAAAACTTCGGTCACACCACAAAGAATAAGATTTTTCGACTAGTGAAACTCTTAGCCGATCTGAGTACTAGGCTTTTAGTGTGACCCAAGTTTTCAAAGTTCACCCGCAATGCATGTAGCATGGTCTTACTGTCATGCAGCTGGATCTGTTTCCAAACGGAAAACAAATTAATTGAAGAAATTTAAAAAGGGGGAGTCTGCTGGTACACATAGAAATTTAATTAAAAATAAATGGAATGTTCAACGAATGTTTTCCTTTTTGTATATAAGTAGTTTAAAGCTTCCTTCTGGTCCCACGGATGCTTCGCCACCTTTCCCGCTCCACCGCAGTACAGCTCCGAGTCCCAATAGGTATGTTGGACCTTGATGAAGTGGGAGAACGGGGTTGATCCGCTGATGCTGCAGGAAGTCGCACAGCGTCAGTGGCTGGCTATGGCTTCACCAACTGTTCCTTAGCGGGCGCCCTATATTCCTCCTCCCTATAGAAGCCAGCGGGTCCTCCAGCTCCGCTGAAGCTGTCAAGTAGCTGCTGGTGGTGGTGTCCTAATGGAGAGGTCGTCGGAGATCGTATTACTGGTGGTTCTGCTAAAAAGATACTTCTAATAGTAAAACGCAATCAAATTCCTTTGGCCAGATCTTACTTTCTTTGCGAGGACGTGCCCGGCAGGATGTCCATGTAGAGATCGAAGTCCCACTCGGCATGGGCCTTCCCACTGGGATTCTCTAGTGGATTTCCTCCAGCACTTCAACTATTCTGTGAATTTGCCCCTTATGTGGAATTGCTTCCTGTCGGTGAAATCCCACAATAAAGGGCATAAGCTTGGATTTGGTGTCCTATTTCATCTGCACTGACCTCCTGCAACCGATTTTGGGGTCTCCCTTCCATTTTTAATTTTTAGTTTCCACATCGCCCTTGCACGAAGACCGCCAAAGATTAAACTTCTTAAGCCTAGTACTCACATCGACGAAAACAGCGAGCTAACCATAGGAGTGAGCGAGAGGCCAATACGCAGCTAACGTTTTTCGTCGCGTCTGTTTTTCAGCGCGGTACTCAGATAAGCTCAGGAAATACCAGAAAAAATACCAGATTTCTCGAGTGAATTTCGATGAACGCCGTTAGCCGCGGCCCAAAGAATAAGAAATTTAATCTTTGGCGGTGTTCGTGGGAAATTTAAAAATTAAAAATGGAAAAAAGGTGCCCAAGGAGGTCAGTGCAGATGAAAAAGGACGCCTAATCAAAGCTGTTGCCCGTTATTGTAGGACTTGACCGACAGGAAGCAATACCACAGCGGGGCAAATCCGCACAATAGTTAAAGTGCTGGAGGAGATCCAATAGATAATCCCATGGCCAAGGAACATGGGACATCGTTCGATCTCCGACGAGCACTCCATTGAGGATTGCACCTCCACCAGCTACTTGACAGCTAAAGCGGAGATGCAGGACGCGCCGGCTTCTGTAGGGAGGAGGAAATAAGGTCGTCCGCTAAGGGACAGCTGGAGGAGCCATCACCAGCCATTACTAGGATGCTGGGCGACTTCATGCAGCATCAGGCGGAACAACCACGTTCCCAATTCGACTCCCACATCCTAAAGGTTCAATATGCCTATTGGGATTCGGAGGTGGACAGATGGACAGATGGCGATGGAGGTGGGAAAGAAGGCGAAGCAACCGTGGCCTTAAACTTTTAATTTCCATAAATAAAAGCATTCGTTTCATGTATTTTTATTTGTATTTCTTTGTGCACCAGCAGACTCTTTTTTTAAATTGCTAGATTTGATTTGTTTTTGTTTGGAAACAAGCCCAGCTGCATGATAGTAAGACCCTGCCACATGCATTGCCGTTGAACTTTGAAAACTTCGGTCATACTTAAAAGAATAAGATTTTTCGACTAGTGAAACTCTTAGCCGATCTGAGCACTAGGCTTTATTCTTTGGGCCGCGGCTAACGGCGTTCATCGAAAATTCACTCGCGAAATCTGGTATTTGTTCTGGTATTTCCTTAGCTCATCTGAGCACTGCGCTGAAAAACAGACCCGACGAAAAGCGTTAGACGCGTATTTGCCTCTCGCTCACTCCTATGGCTAGCTCGCGGTTTTCGTCGATCTGAGTACTAGGCTATAAGAAAAACACGTGTAAGAAAGAGACGGGAATATGTGGCTACAGCTCGCTGCAGCGGAAAATGGGACACTCTCAACGATTCAGTATTCTAGTGTTTTTTACGAGTTTAGGTGATTTTAGTACATGGTGCCTCGAAATTTTTAAGAAGGAAATGCATTTGAACTGCAATTGCGCCGTTATATGGAAATTGTTGTTGGTGGAGGCCAAGAAGCCTCCCAAAGGCTCGGAACCCAGCAAATGATCTCATTTTGAAAAGAAATATATGTCTACGCTTTTGTTAAGGAAATGACCAATCTCCAGCTTACGTCCTTGGGAGGACCGGACATCTGGTGCACCAAAACGTACATTATTTATCTAATGAAATCATTTGTAGGCACAAAAATAATGTTGCTTAAAAATTAAATAGTCAAAGAACAATATGCGAGGGAAGAAACATATTAGTCTAGAAACTGTGGACTTAAAGCTCAACCTTGTAGGCTGTGTTGTAGTGTTGACATAAAGCCAAATATCAATCTATCTGTAAATAGCTGACAGCTGATATATGGCTGCATTATATAGTTTTCACACTTAAGCATTTCTTTAGATATGTCGGATTAACAATCTTTCTTACCAAAGTACAATGAAAATAATGGAGAATGTTCAGATTTCTTTCAACAGAGAATTTTTATATGCGTATCGCGACAACCCTAGCCCGTTTTAGCCAAGCCCGTGCGGATTTCAAAACAGGGGCGGCGGATTGCAAAAACTGTATAGGTTAGAATTTACCGGCCATCCATTCCATTGGATAAACGGATTGCTGTTGCCCTCTATTCGCTTGAGTCTTCTTCGGAATACAGAACTATTGGCAAATTATTCGGCATATCAAAACCATGGTATTCCAAATTCTAAACGATTTCTGTTTCAAAGTTATATCTGTTATGAAAATTCATGACGGTGTGGAAGGATTTCAGAAATTGGGATTCCCACAATGTTTTGGAGAGATGCGTAATGTCTTAATAAATTTGTCATGCCATAACAATAATTATTCATTTCATTTCAGGTTGTTGTCATATCGAAATACGGCCCAGAGCCCAGGATGCAACCTATTCCTACAATTTCAAAGGATTGCATTCCACTATCCAATTTGCTTTAGTTAGTTAAAGGTATTTCCATGTTTTGTATCTTAACTAAAAATTCTTATACCATTACATGTACCGGTTTATTTACGTTAATGTTGGATGCCCAAGACGATGTCTCGACTCACAAATTAACATGTAGAGCAAACTAAAAAACAATGTCTAAGGAGACACCATTATTAAAAGAAAATGCAAACGCGATATGTTGAACTCCGATCCCAGTTGTTGTCCGTGGCTACTCGGTATTTAGTTTTTCTACGACGGATATGAAGCCATATCCCTATTCACTAGATCTTTCTACAGAAAAACGAGCCCTTAACTACAATTCGTCGAAGTGTTGTTGAAAATGCCTTCGGGCATGTTGCTTGCTTTCGGGGTATCAGAAAAGACCTCGACATCAAATCACAAGATTAAACAATTTGATATTATGCTGCTGCATACTCCTCAATTTCTTAAATGAGAGCAACATATAACGAACTGATTATGTGTGTCTGCTCGCTACGAGATTCGTGCGGCTAGCTCAGAAGATTGTGCGTTCATTCCACCAAATTTATATGACGTGATTGCCCGTAGATCAGTGAGAAAACAAAGGGTTCAAATGGTAACAGTGGGATTGATTTATTCTCGTGGTATTAGTACAGCGGGTGTGTGGCTGGGCTAGCTTTGGTATCTCTTGGCTCTGGTTCCGCCGGCTGCTGGCGCTCCTCTTGCTGGCTCCTCCTGGGTCTCGGGACGCTCGTAGTGGTCGCCTCTGCTTGCTTGCCGACGCGTTGCCTCGGGGTCGCTTGTTGCGCCTTAGACCCGCAGAGAGTTTGGCCTTGTGGGCTTAGGGAAGCGTCCCCGTTCTCAGACTAGGGTGAACAAGCCTTGCTCTCCAGGCCGACGCCTTTCGAGGCAATACCTGTCCCTTGCTCTGTCCCGGACGGTCCCGCTAGGTTCTTGCTTAGTTCGCGCTGACAGTCGAGGCTGCCGCCAGGAGGCTGTCTAGCGGTTCACTTTGCTTTACGCCTAGCGCAGACGAACGTTCCACCCGGCTTTACCCTAATGCGTGACGTCCGCGACGCTCCTGCGCTCCCCAATGAGCTCCGCGCGGCGATGGTAACGTGGCTGCCGGAAATGTCTGCTGGCGTCGCTGTCGATGTCCTCTGCGCTGTCTTCTGACCAGTATCTCGTCGTTCTGGCGCTCGGGGAGCTGGGCGGTCGCTGCTCGGGAACTTCGCCGGTAATCGCAGGGCTCTCCAGGCGGCCGCCTCTTGAAACCACAAATCGATCTACCGCTCGTCCGTCACGCCAGGTCCTGCTTGGTCGGGCAAGGTACACTGGGTCGCAGACAACTTTCCTCCCCAAGCTGACGGTTCTTCGTGTAGGACTCTTTTGCTTGTCTTTGACAGACCCGCCGGGCGACTCGCCAGGGTGTGGTCGTGACAAAGTTAGAAAACAAACGCCTTGACTTAGCCGCGTGATGCCTTCCAGAACTCAGCCACCTGTGTCTTAATTCGGAGATTCCTGATGTCCTAATCCCGAACGTCTCGACGCTCTTGCTCCTTGTATGCTTCCCACGGCGCTGCTTCCGACGACTCGCTTGGTTGTAGCTCCCTCGTAGATTATTTGCTTGACTGACTGTTTACTTGGTACTTTGACTGATCTTGAAGGTTTGACTCCTCGTGATCGACTGATCCAGCTGCCAGCGCTCTGCGGCCTTATATAGGGCTTCCGGGAACCGTTATTTCCCTTTTGCGCACGGCCCGCTGGATCTCTCCACTCTGGGTCCGAAGTCCGTGCCTCCTGGTTTACCCACTTGTCCTTCACGAACCGCTTTCAATCGATGCTCCGCCCACTGCTGCAGTCCCGCTGATTCCCGTGATGCTTGTGGCACGCCTGTGTGCCGCTCCACTGCCGAGATGTGGCACTTTCTCTCCCGGTCCAAAGTTCACGGGAGAGTCCAAAGTCCGGTGGAGTTCCGTTATCCTGTTTTTGCACACGGCACTCTTGCCTGGCCCGCGAAGTCTCCATTCTCTCTCGCTTGGTCTCCAAACTCTCTCGTTCTCCATCCAAGTCTCCAAACTCTCCTCGCCGCGCCGCTACTACGCGAATTCGCGGCGTAACTGGTAAGCGGCCGGCCATCTGCTGCTGCTTCTATTTGTGGGGAGTTATTCAACTCCTCACAAACACTCGCAATGCACTTTAATCACCAAGCCCAGATTACGAGATAAGGAATTGTTGTGCGTAATTGTATTTTTAATATATTTCAGAGATCTTTTAACCTAATGACAAACAAATAGAACATACATAGAATATATAAAACGTATTTATAATGAGTATCAAATTAGTCAAAATTGGTGTACTTATATTCTATCCTAGCAATATTCCCTCTGGAGTTTTCCCTCGCAAGTTTGTTTCTACTCTTTTGTTTCCGTTCTATCGGCCACAAGCCGCCCAAAACTGTGGCTCCTACAGTTTTAATACTAGAATAAATATTTTAACTGCACTGCATTGTACTCATCATAGCCTATTGATTGACTCAAAAAAAAGTTTGCAACGCCCACAAACTTCTAAAGTAAGTATGAACGCGGATATTACGGAAACTATTTATGTATGCCACGACCACTCTAACGCCCACAAACCGCCCAAAACCTGTGTCACCCACAATTTTCATGCTAGAAAAAAAATTGTAAGTGAAGTTTATTAGTCTAGCCAATTCCAATCGATTGACCCAAAAAGGGTTTGCCACGCCGACATAGACGCACACAAACCGCCCAAATTGCATATCTTCATCGCCCTCCACATAGAAAGACTCACATATAGAAACAACGACGAATCTTTAGCCAGGGGAGGGGTGCATGTGACTAACCAGACTCATACTGGTAAAGGCAGAAGAAAGCCATTCGGCAATTCTTGGGTGTCGCGTGACCAGAACAACGGCCACTATCGACCTATTGGTAACCATACTCCGGTAGCTTGCAAAGGGCAACAGCCGGCCGTTGACTCCCAAGATAGCAGATATCAAGAAACAGTAATCCTAGGTGGGAACACCTAGTTTATCCGATCCATACCCGCAGCCAAGTAAAAGTTCTAGTCTGGTATAAAAGAAATTAGACAAATAGAGAAAAGGGGAGAATCCATTTGGGTGTCTTGCTGACGGAAGCCGGCAACTTCGAGGGAAGGCGATTTTCCCTGGGACAGCCGTCAATAGAGTCTTCTGTCACCAAGACCAGCCACCATATCCAACAGTCCTTGAGGAGAACACAATTGCAGCTCGAAATAATCTTATGTGTCGAACCAGCGCCGCTATTGTCATCAAAGAACGTGGAGAGGATCAACAATAAGGACGACATCCGACATACTGCGATGTTTGTGGACGCAGTATCAGTGATCTCCATGCTCCTGAAACTTGTTCAGCTGTAGGAAACATCCGTTCAGAGCGTAGCGACCAATAGCATACGTCGAAGAAAGTAGTGATGCAATATAAATGTGTTAATCGAGTCAACCAAAGCTAAAGTGAACTCACGCATAACCAAGGACCAATATCCTCAAATAATACAATTGGATAAAAAGTGAAAATCAAGCATTCAAACATGAATTGAAATATATTTAAAACAAACGGATCAATAGACAAAGTGCGAATCATGATAAACAATTCGAGAGGACGAATCTCTCCACCAGCCGTTGAAGAAGTCGCATGCCTCTGGCATAATATATATATATTTTGTGTTTAAGTGAATTGGTATACTTAAGAACAGCCGTATTTTGGTGCACGTATATTTATATATATATATATCCAATATAATATTTTCCCAAAGCCCAGGATCCGGAGCGTCGAGATCTCATCGCCCAGGATTTAAAGAGGGGGTAAGTTTGTCGGGACACGGTTCCTTTCTTATAAACTTACATATATAAATATTCGTGCAGTATCCTACAGTTTTATAGACTACTATAAACTTTTTCAGCGGCGACCTAATATATTTATAATGTGAAAAAGAATTGGAAACCATGGTGTGCTAGAACTCTAACAAAGGGGGTGTGCTGACGCGAGGAGTGGAGTAGGTCAAGAACAATGACATAACTTTCGACGGACTACCTTGACAATAGGGGATCGTATTGCGCGGCCCGCGACGATCCATTGGCACACGAATGTGCGATCAAGCGACAGCTAAGCTTGTTGGGCAGTGTGGACTGATGACTGACGAACTTTATGACTAATATTACTTTCCAGGCACTTTTAATATTTATTCTCGTTATGTTGGAGAGGAGAGAGGCTTACCAAGATCCCACGACCCGAATACGACGTAGCTTATGCCGGCAAATGGTGCCTGAATATCGGACGCCTCTCCCTCGGCCCAAGTCCTTGTCAGGACTCGGGCACTAGTATGCCCACTTAACAGGTATCTGATAGTAGAGGCACTCGACCTTAGCGCTCTTCCTTGTTTTCCTTTTTATTTTCAGATGTTGATTATTGTTTTCTACGTTGAAAGCAGGATGGTTTCTCATTATCGACGTTAGCACGATAATTGGCTAAACTTTAATTAAAGATTTGCTAAATATATGACTTATTAAAAGGTAGATATTTAAGTACAACGCTTTCGACCATCAATTCAAAAATTTCTTTTGAGCATGATAAAATGTACTTTAGGCTGTCGTAGTATTGTAGATTAAGCTCCTACTGACAGACCCACTCTTGAAACTTCCTTTCTGTAAGCCAATAATTTTAAATGTTTTCTTGACATGTGCATACGTTACTTACCTATTTTTTCGTTTTCTATTCTATTTTTGGTTTTCTATTTTGTTTTTACAACGCAGTTGGACCGTAGCTCGCCATCTCATCCGAAGCCCATCCATGTTCTCCTCCCACAAATCCAACCGGAAAAGGGGATGCATCCTCTGACCAAATCATTCTTTTATTTGCTGTGAACCGAATCATTCAGTGAGAATTGGTAAATAAATTAAACACAACATGTCGCTGGCCCCACGGAGTTGCCTTTACCGGCCGGTTGCCACCCCGCGAGTAAAAAGGTTACTCAGGCTGACTGCCGTTCTAAAGCCGTTTTATTCTGGAAATATTCACTTAGAACATAACCTAACACAATTCTGTAAGCTAATCTTACCGCAGTATGTCCTCCTCAATTCACCACGCGTCTATAAATGCGGAAGCTTAATCCATAGCGGCGAATCAATGGCCGCCCAGTACGACCTTTCACCGATCGAGATCTAATCCATAC